ATTAAGTAACCAGTAATTCCTGGGAGCAAGGTCTGGCGAATAGCCAGAATGCCGGACGGCCTGAAGCCTGTTCCCCAGAATATTTATGAGTTACGAGTATAGTGTCTGCACTTGCAAGGGTCGTGTCTTATTACTCAGTCCTTACACCGTAAATCGCTGGAGGCGCTGAATAAAGCGAAACGGCCGATGTAGCTGCAAAAACTGTTTGAAACTTGTAGCTTGTAGGCCTAAATCTGTGAAACAGGTCCCCGGAAGCTGACCCCAGTAGCACAAAAGTAGTGGGACATAGGCGACCCAGACACTATACTGGCGGATTTCTGCCGGGGGAGGGAACGTGATGGCAAGTGGGACATGCAGTTCCCGGCCCGCTAAGTGGAGGGCCACCAGCTATCTTCCCATAATGTAGCTGCACTCCCTCAGATGCAGTACCAAGAGTCCCCACTAGATGTCTAGTGGGGACTCTTGGAAACTAGATGTTTCCTGCACCCTACAAATGCAATTAGGTATCTGTCTTCCTGATTTTAGCAAAAGTGTTTCTCCTCCGTCTTTTCTCTTTTTACTGTGCCATTTGTAAACAGACACGAGAAAAGCGTGGAATTATGATCCCAGGCAGCACTTTTATGTCAATATTATATGAAATTAATGTAAATTTTTTGTCCAATTTATATTTGTTTTACGCAAACCTTCATTAAGATATTGTAAATATGTTTGCAGAAATTTCACCTCTGTGATGCGCAAACGGTGATATAAAATTGACACTCCCATTTACATCCCAAGTAGCATGTTTATATTAATGTAATGTAAAATTGATGCTAATTTTTGTCCAATATTCATGCGAATTTTCATAAGTAAATCATCAGCTTTGAAGGGAATTAATGCCGTCATGCATGATTCTGATACTGATTCGCCTCCACACTTTGGAACTATGGTGTACCTGGAAAAGTACACAAGTACTCTTCCTCAAGAGTACAACATGACCTACTTCGCTTTTACCGCACATGGAACTCTGGGAGCACGAGTAGGACTCTTATAGGTGCTACCTTGCTTAGAGGATATGAGAGGAGGTTCGCATTCAACTCTTCCCTATTCCCACACACTTCTGTATTTAATCATTCCCTGAGTCATATATCATTGTAAAAATATCATAATTTCATGTTTTCCCCATATATTAATCGCACAATAAGAAGAGGAAGGATGGGAGGAAAACCTCATACTATATCAGGGAAGCCGGTAATTAATTGCATTTGTATGGTGCAGGGTGCACATTAAATCATGTCTACTTTACCTGCAATACACACCCACTTTGATGATGTAAATAGAGGAATATACATTTTATATAAACGTGATATCATTTGCATGACAATCGCAAGAAATTGACATTATTTGCAAAAAATTATATCTTTTTTGCATAAAAATGCTACTTGGGATGCTTTGATTGCAATATAAGACTCAGGGAATTATTAAATGCTGAAGTAAAGTATGGGGATACAGAAGTGTACGGTACTAGGGAAGGGTAGAGTGCTTACGTTCCCCAATACCATATACAAGGTGTAACAAAGTCAGGAATCATAGGGAAATCACATGGGGGTCATTTCCACCCTAGATTGTCTGAAACGTTCAAGCTAATCTGAGTTGATTCTGAAACTCCTGAGTTCCCTTAATCTCAAAGTCTGGTCCAAGTGGTCCAAAATGATATTGAGTGATCCATGGTGACCCAAAGTGGCCTAAATTGTCAAATTGACTGAATATGGGCCTAATTATCTGAGAGCGATATAATTTTACAAAAATTGAAACAGTGACCAGATTTGACCCAGAGTGGCACATAGCGATCCATTGTGACCCATGGTGACCTTCCCTGAATCTCACTATTTACTAGAAGCCAGAGTTGACCAATAGAAATTCAAGGTGACCCATGGCACGGCAAAGTGACCTAACTTGGTCTCTCTCTTTCAATTTCAGTAAACTTTTATCGCCTTAGGAAGTTTTGGCCCAAGTTGGATCGATGGAAAAATTTGGATCACCATGGGTCACCTTGGATCTCTTTTTGTCAGCTCTGGCTACAATTAAATAGTGAGATTCAGGGTAGGTCACCATGGGTCGAAATGGGTCACAATAGGTCGCTATGTGTCACTCTGGGTCAAATTTAGTCACTGCTTCAATTTTTGTAAAGTTAGAAAAGAGTTACCTACCCAAGTAGCACATAGGTGGTGGGCCACCAACTACGTTTGGGGAAGAGTTGGTGGCCCGTCACCTTGACTAGGTTGTGGGCCACCAGCCGCATGTCCCACTTGCCAATAGTGGCCCGCCAACTTCCGAGCCGTTTAACCCTTTCATGGCGTATGATCATTATAAGGATAATATCTTTTGAGACTGCTCTTGCGATTACCATTGAACAAAACCTGTTTTATATTGTACCGCTTAATAGCTCTTCGGTGATGCATCATTCGTTCAAGTGGGTTGTAGTTCAGGCAAGCTGGATCAAAAAGAAAAGTTGTGACCCGATAGGTTTGATTTTTTTGCGAAATGGAATTTTGTACGAAAAAAGGGAAAAGGGAAAAATATGCCCGCATGCTGCAAGAATGGACGGATAAAATTTGGACAAAGGCCAAGTTTTAGGGGCTCCACATGTGTGAACAATGGCCTGTTATTCAATATTTTCGGTTAAGGATTTTTGTAATAAAAAAATTCCGTTTTTCAATATTTGAGCAAATATTTGAAATTTTCTGTAAGCCCCGTCTTTAGCTAGGCCTGTTCAATAGAAAACGCGGTGAAAAAATTTCCTAGTTATACGTTTTCTTAATTCAGCCATGAAAAGGTTAAGGGGCAGCACATTACCAGTTAGCTCGTTTGTAGCTGGGAAACCAGCTGGGAAAGGTCCTAATGCCTCCATATATGTCCCAATTATCTCTAAATCTTTGCTCTGGAGCCTACTGAAAAGAGTACTAAAGAGTACCAAGATAACCCACTGCTTTCCTCTTCCACATTCACCATGGCACACTTATGAATTCCCATACATAACTTCGGCATTTAATAATTCCCCAAATCTTATACTGCAATAAAAACATCATAATTCCACGATTTTCTGTTTATAAATTGAACATTTAAAAAAGGAAAAACGAAGAAACACTTTTGCAAATCAGGAATGCAGGTACTTCCTTGCATTTGTAGGGTGCAGGGAACTGGAGTACCATCTAATGGGGATTCTTGGTACTGCATCTAAGGAAGTGCCACCTATATTCTCCACCCTGAACTGGTGGAGGCCATTAAACAGCCCTGATTTGCATTTTTTTTAAACTATCAAGCAGTTTGAGAACTCTCCGGGAAACAGTTTACAGGGAGACCAGCTACAGAATCTGTGGGATCTGCAAGTAAAGATCGCCCAAGAGTCTAATACCATACCCAATGATTTTGAACGGAGCTACTCGATAGTTCCTGCATTTGACAACCTTTCCTCCAACTAGCAGTCGAGTCCATACGGAACGTTTATAGTCGAAGACTTTGGCAAAGATCTGGGGCATTCAAATGCCGCGTTCTGTCTTTACGGTAGATATTATTAGGTCTGGGAAAAAGTATCCGGAACTTTTAGTGGGTTAAGCTTGAGGGGTTCGTGCCGCGCCGGCTATGCTTGTTCTGTCGCTATGTAATATATGAAAAGAAAGAGGCTGAAAAACTCTGTAAAATGTATATCTGCCGTGTAGATATACACACTCAGCTTGATTTTTCAATCAAGCGGGACAACTTTTACCATTCAGGTAAAAGTTGTCCCGCTTGATTGAAAAATGCGACTCGACGACCACATCTGTCATTGCTTACTTCTCCAGTTCGATAAGGGGCGCAACGCGAACGACGCAGTCCGTCGCATAAAGAAGGTGTACCCCGATGCCTGTTTAAGCAAATCCACGGCATACGATTGGTTTGAGAAGTTTTCACGCGGACATCGAACTCTTCAAGATGAACTCCGTTCTGAACGCCCATCTGTCATCGATGGCGATGCGCTCAAGTCCATGATCGAAGATGATCTGCACCAAACCACGTCTAAATTGGCGAGAAAACTCGACTGCGACCGTACAACCGTGTCTAATCACCTTCACACCATGGGAAAGGTGCGCAAACATGACAAATGGGTCCCTCACAAGTTGTCCGAAACCGAGAAGATTCAACAAGCGATCATTTGCATCTTTGCTGTCGCGTCACAAGGAAGACCCGATATTTGGCCGGGTCATCACGTCAGATGAAAAGTGGGTTCTGTGGAACAACCAACGAAGATCATACTCTTGGCTGGACCCTGATGAACCCCCAAGCAAAATGCCGAAACCCGACCTGCACCTAAAGAAGGTCCTTTTAGGCATTTGGTGGGCTCGATTCGGCGTAGTGCACTACGAGCTCCTGAAGACCGGCCAGTCCATCAACGCGGACATCTATTGCACACAACTACAGCGTGTCCATGAAGTCCTGCTTAATTCTCGAGCCGCATTAGTCAATCGAAAAAAAGTTCTCTTCCTGCACGACAACGGAAGACCACGCGTCGCCAAGAGACCCAGGAAAAATGGAAGGACCTCGACTGATAAGTTCTGCCGCATCCATCCATCCATCCATCCATCCATCGTATTCACCGGACGTTGCGCCATCGGACTACTGCCTATTCAGGTCGCTGGACAAATTCATGTGCAAGAAGCAGTTCCCAAACGAAGGTGCACTCAAAAACGCACTTGATGGTTTCTTTGGCTCACGGGATGCGGTGCTTTGGGAGAGAGGAATCGATTCTCTTAAGGAAAGATGGGGAAAAGTTCTATATTGTGAGAGAGATTATTTTTTATTGATAAAGTTTGTTGAATAAAAAGTTACAGCGTCTCAAAGATATGGGTCGAAACTTCCGGATACTTGTTCCCAGACCTAATATTTGACAGCAATGCTTGTTTGCTTTTATTTTTGGCTCACCCTGTATATACATTATCTCATCCGTGAGGATTCCGTAACATAGATATCAGTTGCTCCCCCAGACAATTGACCGATGTGATTGGCAAGGCAGAGAAGGAGAATGATTCGCTTATCCTGCAGCTCCAGTCTGCCTTCGTCGAAGTGCGTTTGAGGAACATCCCCATCCCCAATTTAAATCCTGCATCAGTTATTAATGAAAGAGCTGGCAAGAGTACCTATATCTTATTGAGCAGAACCAGCAGATGCGGGAGGTATTGAAAACATGTCAGCAACAGCAACTGAACACTGACGTGGCTGTGACTAACGCTTTACAAGACAAACAAAGAAACGCAGAGCTGAAGGAAGAAGTTGCCAGGCTGAGACGGACAGTTGAAACACTGGAGAAGGAGAAACTGCAGGTAGAGGGAAAAAAAAAAAGAAATTAAACAAGAGAGAAGTCTTGGAATGTCTCTCTCTCTCTCCCTCTCTCATTCGCAGATTGAAGAGCTGGAGAAAACAAGGCACCAACATCTGGAAGCACTGAAAAGGAAGATACAGGGATTTGCACTCTGCATGAAGCAGCCTAGACCGACTACCGAAGGCTCTCACGTGGGTATCAGAGTCACCGTCTATATTTGCATTTGCTTCATTAAAATTATACCCTTGTCTTGAATACTCTAGTCGTGTTTTTTTCTTCTTCTTCAGGGATCTAAGAAGTTGCCCCTGAAGAAACGCGCATTCAAGCCAATTGCAAATACGAATGTGGATCGCAGGATGACTCGCTCTATGATTCAGGTGATATAAGACCCTATCGAGAAACTTGGTAAGATTAATATGGAAATGGATGAGGCTGTAGCGTAATATCCGGAGAGAACTTTATTGCAGTCTTGGTGTGAATACCCCGCACCGGTCCGAGAAAGAGCTGGTGCGACTCTGATGAAACTGAACTGGAGCTGTCCTACAATCATCACTCTTAAAGAATAAACGCCATGTTCCTTTTTTTCATCGAGTAATATTCCTAAACTTGGTCATAGTTCACGTGTTTTTGTTAATTTTAGAGGTCATCTCGTTCTATTTGTGGCATTGCATAAACTTGAAAGGTAAGGCGTTCGATGGTTCTGTGCACTAAGAGCTCAATTGTTTGATTATCTTTTTTCAATATCAATTTCCGAAGTCATCAATAAAACGAATTGGGCCTCAGATCAAGTTCTTTAAAATTATTATCGAAAATCTGACTGTGTGGTCAGAAAGAGGCAAGAGCAACGAAGCGGGATTCCTAGGATGTGACGCGCCTTCAAGGTGTCGTAATCGCGGTTATAAACCTGCCTTCGATCCTCGCTTCATTATCAGGTACAGCCAAGCCCTAGACCGATCCGGTTCGGTGGCGTAAGGTCACCTTGTTTCTATCTGGATAAAACTCTGTCCTCCCGGCCTCGTTATTACCCTGTGTCGGTGCTTCTGGGTAAACGTGTGAATCGGCGCGTGCAATAATATTGAGTGCATATGCATGTGATCGCAGTGCATCAAAGATTTAGAATAAGTACCTCTCACAGTTAGACTTGAGAAAAATTCATACTCAAGAACTTGGTATACTGCTGGGGAAATGTATAAATATAAGCTTAGTTATATATTATATTATATATTATAATTCTAGAACTCTGGCGCTTAAGTGCTTTTGATAAGTACACGATGGCAGGGCCTGTCCTAAATTATGGAGTGCCGTTGGCAATTTCACATTCAGTGCTTCCATCTTCACGCTCCCGGAACACCGAGAATCTGACTCGTTTTATTCAGTGGACTTCTGCGAGTGGATCCACTCTTTATGCACTTACTTGAAATATCGTGACTTCTATTACGATTACTCCTAAAAAATTGGATTCAGAGGGACCTCTTCCCGTTCTGCAGTTTTTGGCAGCAAATGAGGCACGAAAAGGTTCACAACCGTACCATTGGGGCTAAACTGTTTCACCACTTAGCTAAAAAAAAAAATTAACAAGGGGAGCTTTCGCTCATGCCGAAGTCACGGTAGCACATTAGCATAGTGTACTTAGGAAGAAAAGCATTGAATAAAGAGAGAGTAAAATTAAGGAGTTGCATTCCCCCCCTGCAGTTTGTATAAGGATCTTCTAACAGCGAATTTCTGTTCAAATTCAATCCATTTGCAAGTCTTCTTTGACAGTCATCAAATAAGATACAAGTAAGGTGTGAGACAATAAATGCATGGGGGAGGAACGATATATATTTTAGAGAGTAATATGGGTTCCCTGCTTTCTCAGTAATTGACTGTCGGGTGGGATTTTTAATTGAGTCGATGTTAGTCTTGTTTCCTTGTTTCCCACCAGCACAGCCAGCGGCAACAACTGAGCTGTGAATCGCATCAGATCCCAACTGGGAGTATAGATGTCGCCGTGTTGACAGGGTGACATTTATAACATGATAACACGGTACGACACTGGGATGATCAGGAGGTTCCTCCTATAGGTAACCTCTTTGATATCGGGAGAGAGGCTCCCAGAGACACATCCCCCCCCCCCCCCCCCCCCCCCCCCC